CAACGCTGGAGACGCACAGTGGTTCTCCCTTGAACGTGTCTTGACGGTACAGAGGAAAACTCGAAAGCCCTTTTCTTGCCAATTGTAATAAACGTTTAATTACTTTTCCTGAGCCAGAAGCCGCAGTTCTGACACTTTCATAGAGACCACAGATATTTTTTTCCAAAAGTGGGAGCAGGACTCCGCGGAGAGAAGTGTCTGTGCAGCCACTTGGGCCTCAGGACTCATGGCAGCAGGTGCTGGGAAGGGATGACCTTCAATTTAGAACTTTTAGTGCTTCTTTGGTACTTGCTCTTTGAAGCATTGGAAACTCTTTCATGGCTTAGGGGAGACCGAGTCACTCCTCGGCCTGGCGGTGTGCCCCCAATGATTCAGTCTCATCGTGTAAACGGAAGCTGTGAGCCTTAGGTAAGTGACCACATTAGCAATTCCAATGAAGCCAAAGCTGATGTGCTGTGTGATTTCATTCTGACTCTGACAGCTGCCTGTCTGAGGCAAGCCTGTGCCCTGAGGAAAGCAGTTCAGAACCAGTAGTAGATAATCCATCCCAACTAAAGTGGCTTACTTCCTCTTGCTCTTGCTTTTCACTCAGCTACCTGCCCAGCCTTTCTGCATCTCTTCCCCTTCTCTATTAAAACCAGGCTAAGGCGGTGACAGAAGCTTCCTCCGCCACCAGCCTGCTGTCCTCAGGGATAATTCATAAGCTTTCTACAGGGAGATGCTGCAGTCACGTGCTCTACCTGTTCAGCACAACCTTGTCTAGATGAGCTCGGTAGGATGAAGGGCTTGCTCCTGGAGCCTGGTTCTTCCAGGCGGCAGCACAGAATGAAAGTGAAATGAACACATTCTCAACATTCACTGTGTTGCTGGCACTGGGTTTTCTTCTCATTTCAATCTTCACTATCATCTTGTGATAAGTGCTATTTTTGTCCTCACTTAACAGATGAGCTAACTAAGGTTCAGAGAGGTTAAGTGATTTGTTGAGGGTCACAGAGCAAATAAAGAAATAGCAGAGCTGGCACCTGAGGCCAGGCAGTCTGACTCCAGCAGCTGCTCCAGCAGCTGCCTCATTGGAAGGATAAAAACATGGGTGCAGGGGGCCTACCTCTCCTGGCAGGGGCCTAGGTTTCCCGGCCACCCTAACCTAGTCCTTTAGGATACCTCCTCCTCATGACGTGATAGCACTCATAAGCATCTGTAATGTATTCTAAACCTGATTTGTATTTACTGTCCCTAGATGTCACTGGCAAGGCATATCAGAATATACCCCACCACTTAAGTTCCCATGGCTTTCTAGTTTTTAACTGCTCACACCTCCATGGTCCATGTGTATACAGCATCATACTGCGGTCCTGAATCACATGTCCCAGCTGCCCTGGGAGGTTGTGGGGCCTCTGGGTTTCCTGGGTCACAGGCCATGGGCCAGGCATTTTGCTACAGAATTAAAAATCAGGGACATGAGAACACTAACTGAATATTTGATATTACTATGGCAATATTACTACTAGAGTTTTTCTTTAGTGATCATGGTATTGAGGCCTTTTTTAAGGAATCCTCTTTTATAGATTCATATAAAAATAAGTTGGTGTTGGGAGAATATGAGATGGGGGAATGGATGAAATGAGATTCAGGCTCAGCAAATGTTGAAGCTGGGTGAGGCCTCCATGGCGACTTATTACACTGTTTTCTCCATTTGTGTATGTACACTAAAGGATCCATATTAAAATATATTTTTTTAAAGGAAATGATGTTTTAATACAAATTAAAATCACAATTTATACTTTCTAGAATGGCTAAACTTAAAAAATCACCAAGTGTGGGTTAGATGTGGAACAATGGAAACTCCCACGTCCCAAAGGTATGGTACAGGATAGAACAACAGTTTGGCAATTTCTTACAAAGTTAAACATGCAGTTAGCCTAGCATAATTCTACTCCTACGTCTTTTTTTTTTTTTTTCCTGGATATAAATGGTTTATTTTTATTTTTAATTTTTGTTACAGATGTTTCTCCTTTTTTACCCCATTGACACCCTCCTCCCCATCCCCCCCGCCCTGTCCCTGGCTTTGTTGTCCGTGTCCATTGGTTATGCATACATGCATATAAGTTCCGTGGTTTATCTCTTCCCTCCCCCACCACCCCCTCTTCTGAGGGTTGTCAGTCTGTACCCCACTTCCACGTCTCTGGGTCTACCCTATTCCTTAGACTGTTATGTTCATTATATTCCACAAATAGGTGAGATCATATGATACTTGTCTTTCTCTGCTTTGCTTGTTTCACTTAGGATAATACTTTCCAGGTCCCTCCATGTTGTCTCAAAGGATAAGAGATCTTTCTTTCTTACAGCTGCGTAGTACTCCATAAAATATATATATATATATATATATATATATATATATATATATATATATATATATATATTTTTTTTTTTTTAAAGATTGGATCTGACTCAAAGAGAAGCCAGAGTGGGAAGTAATATGCTTCAGAAGCTACAGTGGGGGCGACTGCGAAGGAAGAGCTCATTCTTCCAACAAACACCCAAAACATGCGGAGCTCTGTGGCAAGCGAAGGGCCTTTTATTCAGCAATTTGTCAACTATTCTCTTCACAGCGTGGCCAGGTTGGAAATAAGTATACAAAGCCTGAGATGTGTCCACATTTACACATTTATTTGGGTTTAGAGAGACGACACAGATAAACTACTTGGATCATACACAAGTTTATATTTGGTAAGAACAGGTTGCCACATGTTTATATTTTTTATCTTTTTTTGTCTTTAGGAATGGAATACTGTTGGGGAGATGGCAACGTCTTTCAGGAACACCAATTGGGAACACTATTGTGGCACACATAACTAATAAGTACACAGTGTTTGCACTTAGCATTTGAAAACAGGACAGCACGTGCAAGATGATCTCCCCCGACAGGGTCCTGGGTTCCTCCTTCTGCGCTATATTTACACTTGGCTTTCTTTGTCCATGTTCTGAGGAGTAGCACCTACTCCAAACCAGTGTAGGCGCAATACCTCCAATGTTGGCAGTCTGTGACAGTCCATATGGGTTTCTTCGGTTCTCAGAGATGAAGTAGCGCTCACCTTGCGTTTTGTGAAATAACACAATTCTCAAAGGAGATTTCTCAGTGGGGAGCTTAGCCAAGGGCGTGTTCTGTATTAGAGCTGAGGTGGAGGGCGTACGGTTTAGCAGAGAGAGGGAGAGAGAGATTACAGGAACAGATGCAGATGTAGTTCTCAGAGTAGCAATACAGCTACCACACAGAAAAAGACATATCAATAATATATTGAACAAGCTTTTACAGCAACACATGTTGATTTGCAACACTGTACAGTTCAGATCTAAAGCGCACAACCACAATCTGAGGGGACAAGACAGTACTATCAATATAATAAAGGCAGCACAGTTACACATACAGCTGATTCCTTCGCTTTCCTCAGTCTGTGACAGCACATGAAGTCAATTACCATTTGAATGTCTCAGAGGAAGACACACCATACTTTTTTTTCAAGTATTTTAAAATAATAAACACAACATTGCTGTGTAAGTGAAAATGGTCATGTCAATTCTGATTAAAACCACAACCGAACTTTTCTAAAATTTCTCAAGAATGGTTCCACAGAAAAGCCTTTGGTACCGGGAATTTGGGCTAATGTTCAAAAACAATCTCCCTCCCTCAGTCCCTCCCACCTGAGTGGATCATAGACCTACTTTAAAGAATAGTTATTAAACTACGGGAACCTGTTAGGCTTTTATTGACCTCCTTCCCTGGGCTACCGTTGGTAGGGATTCACTGCATATGGTTGAGCAGGGCTCCCAGCAAACTTGGGGAAGGACCTGCAAGGAGCAAGGGTGGGGAAGGCAGCCTATTGGTAAAAACGAATTCTGGTCCATACAGAAAGGAGAAATGTTTTAAATTCGTGTCTGCAGTCCCCTCTCCTAGCTCTCAGCATCTAGAATCGGCGGCCCATAAAGATCTGTGGGAGCTTCTGTTAGTTCATGTCTCTCCATCAGGTTTGCAGGGGCAGAGGATGCTTTCCAAATGCTGTTTTGAATTCTAAGGAGCATAAACTGGTCATTTTGAATCTTGATGGGAGATAGGGAAAAGAAGATCTTAAGATGCTGTCTCAAAATCCTGGGTGAGGAGCTCTTCTCATGAGAGAAAAAAGAACCACCCATGGAGTAGAAATTGATTATTTTGGATCCCAATGATGGGGAGCCTAGCAAGGGTGATTTTTGTGGGTAGGAATGGGAGGAAATGAGACTAAGCAATTTCCCAGGTGGTAAATGGTCCCTTCCTGGACAGTGGCAATATGGCCTCTGGGATGATGCCATTATTCTCACACAGAGACCTCTTCTCCCAAGGCTGGCTTTCATTTCCGGGGCTCACCACATTCTGGAGTGTGCTTTGTTCCTGTTTGCTTGGGCTGATTTGGTTTTATTTTTCTCTAATTAATCCAAATGATCTACTAAAAGAGTACGGTGTGGGAAGATGCCTCAAGAACCAGCATCAACCTTCTGTTCAAAACAGGCTGAACTGGAGAGTAGAATAGAGACTATTACCCTAATTTAGTCTAAGGGGAAGCTTGGCTTTTCATGCTCACTGAGTGGGGCTGCAAAGGGTCAAATGGGTGGAAAACATTTTTAAATGGGAAGAGAATCTTATTGTTGATCTGATAAATTATATTAAGGAACTTGCAGTATTCTTTTGTGTTTGTTTTATAATACTGACTTTAGAGATGTGAGAAGACATCATACGGTTTTAAGAATTTTGTGGGCCTGTGTTTCAAAATAACTTTGCTAAGTGTTTTATTGTGCCTCCATGAAAAGAAAGAGAAAAAAAAAATCTGGCTTAGTTTTTATATCTGCCCCTGCAGTTTGTATAACCCATATAAAATAAAAATCTATATGTTACAAAATAGGATTTCTTTTTAATATATATATTTTCCTTTTGTAAAATTATATGCATTTAAATACATTTGAAATGTTGCTATAGGTAAATTAGAAATTTTTTTCTAACACTATGAAAAAGGCAAGAGTTTTTATCGTCAACATACATTTTATATTTACTTTATCCTTTTCACTGTACCCCCAAAGAACCTTTTATGATTCAGGGGCAATTTGGCACTATTCAATCTTACTACTTTGAAGTGAAAATAAAATTTGATTTGCATACTATATTAAAAGTAAGGGAAGTATTTATAATAATTTTAAGCTTTTCCTTATTGATTAGAACACAGCCATTGTCACTAATTATTAGAGAGGTATTCTAAACTTAAGAAAGGGTTTTCAAAAGGAGCATTTTTTTTTTTAACTGTACTTCTACTTTGACACCACAATATAGAAATAGATTTACTTTGGAACAAACTACAAATACATTCACAGAGGTTGTGACAACTTAATTGCCTACCTAGAGAATTGAAACAGCTTAGTGAGCTAGTTTATTATAAATCCTGTCCAAGGCGTTCTATTTCTTCAATCAGGAAGTCAATGTCTTGGTGAGTTGCTGCAGGATTTGAAATGACCATGCGGAAGAAATTGACCTTGTCTCCCAAGGGTTGGTAGCTGACCATTGTGGTCCCATACTCCATCATTCTGGCTTTAATCACCGGAGCCACCTGTGCGAGACATCAGATCAATACGGTGACTGTTACTCCTGGGGACTTTCCCCTTGGTCAAATAACCTGCTATCAAGTTGCATTTTAGTCTGTAACTAAACAATTAGAATCATATTTGTGTTTCTTAGAAGGAACTGCCTCCAAGTTTTCTTGGGATTGGAGGACTGGGGCAGTTCAATACATCCAAAATCTTAAATGTGGTAAGAGGACTAATAAATGGTAGGCTATTAAGTGCTTGCCACCTTTTTCTTGACTTTCTTGTCAGTATTTTGGGAGAATGAGAAGAATCTGGTGTTGGTCTAAGACTAAAGAGTTTAGCAATACAGCTTTGGGGGGTCCTCGCCCCCCACAGTAGATGTAGAAACATTGGAAATAAAACATTGTTCGGCCCTGGCTGGTTTGGCTCAGCGGTTAGAGTGTTGGCCTGAGGACCAGAGAGTCCTGAGTTTGGTTCCCGCTAAGGGCATGTACCTTGGCTGCAGTTTGCCCCGCCCCGGTTGGGGTCCTGTGGGTGGCAACCAGTCGATGTGTCTCTCTCACATCAATATTTCTGTCTCTCCCTCCCTTTCTCTCTCCTGCTCTATCTGAAGATAAATGCAAAAATGTCCTTGGGTGAGGATAAAATAAATCCAAAAACTTTGTTCAGAGAATGGTTACCAAGAGGTAAGTGTCAATATCAAGTGATGTATGAAAATAAGCAGACTTTTGAGACCCTAAAGCAATTTTTTTCTTGAGACCCTAAAGCTTTCTCGTTCCTTTTCATTCTCCTTTTGCATTACCTCAATTTATAAGATATTTTGAGACATGTTTCTTAATAATGATGAAGAATCAGCTGAGACAAAAAGCTGAACCCATAAGGACTTGCCATAACAGACGGGATCGCAGACGAAGTTTCTCCACATGGAGGCAAACTGAAGACCACAGGGCCAGCAGCCCTCCACTGGGCGTGAAATTAAAGCCAAACTCTTCACTCAGCACAAAGGCCTTTGTCACCCAGCTCTGAGGACTCATCTTCCAGTGCTCACCAAAATAAACCTTTAACTCTGAAAGAGCTATCTATTTAATACCCCTTGAGTGTGCCACACCCTTGTTCTCTTAGCTTAGAATTCATTATCTCTCACAGTTGACATTCAACACACTCCAAGGCTCCACCGCAGTCCTACAACTGCTATGAACCCCCTCCTTATTCCTCTAGTTCACTAGCATCTTCTCTTTTAAGTTGTAAATATATGATCCTTACCCACAGATTATGACTGTATTCTCATTTCCAATTGTCCTCTTATGAGAAAATACATTTTATCTCAGTACTTCACCTGCAAGCTCCTGGGGGGTAGGCACCGTGCCTTTCACTTCTTTTTGTTTAGTGGTGGCACTGGGTGCCTATTCAGGGGTCCCTGAGTCCTTATTGACTGTAAAGGCATACATTTAAATGATGTCTAAAGGTATGTATGATCTGTCCAATGATATTCTATCATTGGAGTCTATAGATATAACATCTGGTCATTTAAGTTTGTTGCTGCAAATATGTAACCAGGAATGGTAGATATTAGGAACACTGCAGACAGACTTAGTTTGGATATACATAGTCAATAAATCAGTTCAAAATGGGGACCATGCCTTATATCCCAGTTGAATCCATCTGAAATAGAGGATAGTTAGAGTCAAATGGAATGTTGTTAGGAACATATCACTTTTCAGTACCAACACATAAATAGTCGTTGGTTCACAATGAGTTGTTCATCTTCACATGCATGATGCACAAAATCAGTTTGGTTCCCATCAGGCCCATTGATTTGTTAGAAACTAGGGGCACAAAAAATAATGTTCCTCCTACCTTCTAAATTCTTCTAGCTAGATTAATAACCAAAATTAACAGACACAGATTAACAGGAGACAATGTCCAAAGTTTATTTTATTGGTGCCATAAGAATGAGACCCATGGACAGACTGTGTAATTAAGAACTATAGGCCATCCTTTTTTTTTTTTTTTTTTTAATGGTATAAACCTAATTTGATTTATTATTATTATTTTAACAGGAGAAAATAACCATTTATTAGCCATGTAAACACCAGGGTTCCATAAGAATATGGGGCCCTGTCCTGGCCACCATGAATAATGCTGCAATAAAGTTAAGGGTCCATATATCACATTTTTTGGGTAAGATACCTAGAAGAGGGGTTGCTGGGTCATACAGTAATTATATTCTTAATTAAAAAAATTTATCTTTATTATTGAAAGTGTTATAGATGTCCCTCCTTTTTTCCCCCATTGACTTCCTCCTCCCCACTCCTGGCCCCCCTTCACCTTTCTGTTGTCTGTGTCCATTGGCTATGCATATATTCATGTTAAGTTCTTTGGTTTATCTCTCTTGAGCTAAGGAGGAGAGGAGGTGGGTTGTAGTTTTTGGACTTCAAAGGGCAAGAAGGCAATTCACATGGAGATAAAAAAGCAAATGTTTGGTAGAGAAATGTTTTCTGGGCCATCTCTAACAACAGGACACAGTGAAGACTTAGATCAAAGGGACATTGCTAGGTTCCTCCCTGTCCATCTCACCTAGTTTATAGTAAACTACAGTTATCTGTGATGAAATCTCCCTTCCTGGAGCAGATCCTCTATCTAAATTTCTTTAGGCAGATAAAGGGGGATAGTCAAAGGTTCTTTCTGAATCTTTAGTTCCTTAATAACCAGTTTAAAATAACCAATTATCAAAAAAGGCACATTTTGGGGTGGCAAACTCTGCTGTCCTTCATTACCAAAGACAAAGGCAGACATACTTCACTTTCACCTTCACTTCACACCCTAAACCTAATTTACTCATCTCAAAATGTGGAGGATGGTTCCAGTGCTGAGTGTTCTGACCCTGTACTAACAAATCCTTAAGTCCCTTCCCGCCCCTTCCTTATTCCACGTGGAGGTAATATAAAGAGGGTTATTTCTGTTGGGTTAATCCTTTTTTCACCCCAAGGACTAAGGCTATATTCACAGCACTGGGCTCATTCCAGGAAAATAATATAAATACGAATTAAATATTTCAACTCTGGGATTAAGTTCTGGAAATGGATCTACTGGAATATTCTAGCCTAAGGACATGAAATTCATTATTTTGTGCTAGGAGGCAAGGCAAATCAATGTGTTCCTGGGAAGATAAACTCCAAATTAGAAAAGGAATTCCACATCCATGTATCTGCAGGAAATTAAGGAAAAATCACACAACTATTCCTTAGTTTTATCTGTGCAACAATTATGCTTGCTCTTTAGAACTGATAAAACAATGACTGTGCTTTACTTAGTGAATTAAACCCTGGTTTGTCTGCATGGGCAATCCAAGAAAAACATATATTAATGGCACTAATGATTAAGAATAACCACCTCCAACTTTTCAAATAAATGCAAATCAAAGGTCAAAAGATTAATGGTAATAGCCATCCTTTAAAATAGACTTTGGCATAAAGTAAGATTGAATTCCTCCCAGTTCCTGAAGCTAGCTGGGTTGGCAGAAATCACAGCTGTCTAAATACATATGACTTTTAGTTGTTTCCAGAAAATGCTTATGAACTAAAATTAGCAGGAACATAGAACATCTACTTCATTACAGAATCACTAATTGCAAGTTAAGAAGGAAAATAAAATTCTGGCAATTCTGATGACCACATAGAGCTTTTATTTATTTCTAGCATTTGTGTTTGTGTGTGTGTGTGTGTGTGTGTGTGTGTGTGTGTGACATTTTGGGTTTGCTGAATAAAGACAGGCAGCTGAGAAAGAGAGGGGCTGCACGTTGAAGAATTCACTAAGGGCCTAATCAGCAGGAGCTCTTTGGAGCTGCCTTAAAAGTTTTAGGGTACTATTTTTCCTTTGTGTCATTAGCTTTTACAATCCTTTAGAAAACAATAACCAGGGGACTCTTACATAATTTGAATCCACATATTTTCTTCCTCCAAAGAGAGCTCAGATTAAAGCTTCATGAAATAATATCACCCACTATCACAGAAGTGTATTTTTCACTGTGTATTACAAAACCTTTTTGTTTTTAAATCTTGGAAATGTGAGTAAAGTTTTGAAAAATAAAATAGCAGAATAACTATAAATAAGATATTCTATAATGCTAAAATCTCACAAATTAAATTTCCCATTACATTAATAAGAGTCACATCAAAGATGAAGCCAAAATACTTCTTTACAAATTTACTTTTAAATCCATAGTTGACCTTTTGAAAGTATGCCAATAAGTATAGGACTATAAAAGCTGATAGAGAGATGCAGGTAATAATCACATATAACAAAAATTAAAATATAAGAAGACGATGATGAAGAACCAGAAACACAACAGGTGATCAACATGCAGTCTTTGGATTCTTATCTGATAACTGCCGGCATACAGAGACTGCTGCCCTTTGCCTGTGTTTAAGGCATGGATCATGTACGCACAGCATCCCAGGTCCCCCGGGCCCACTCTGCCTCAGTGACAATGTGCAGCTGCACAGTCACTGTGCTGACTGACAGCAGGAAATGCACCAACCAGATTCACATCTTTACCTCCCTCATGAAACTGTGACTTATGCCCATTTTAGTCATAACCAGTTCTTACCTAGATATCTATCCCCAAGCCAGCACGTGGACTAAGAAAAGGCCTAAGATTCCCTAGTAGGTTTCCTAAGCGGTGTTTCCCTTCCCTATTCTGGAAGATGCAAATAGCATTTTAGCTCAACACTTTTGAGTGCCTGTCATATGGTAAGCCAAGTAATTCAACTCAATTTTTTTGTTTGCCACACACCACAGAGAAGACTCCATTTTTCTCCCCATTTTGGGTCCATATCAGCACTGACCAAGAGCATGCTGTGTAATGATGGAGATGTTCTCTATCTGAACCATCTGAGATGGTAGCCACAAACTGAGCACTTGACCTGTGGCTAGTGTGGATGAAGACGTGAATTTCTAGTTGAATTTAATTTTAATTAATATGAAGTTAAATAGCCACATGTGGCTATTACACCATACTGGACAGTGCAGATGATTTATGTCACCTTAGCTCTTTACCTTCTGGGATTGTGTGTGTGTGTGTGTGTGTGTGTGTGTGAAGATTTTACTGGTCCTTGGACATTATAGCTTAAGGAATTATACTTAATGAAAAACTTTTCTGAAACTCTAAATATTATTGACATAAATAAACCAAACTTAACCTTGATATGTATGTGGTTTTATTTTGATTTCTAATTCTCTCTATTACAGTCAGGAAAATGGAGTCACAGGAGAGGAATGAATTAGGAGAATTCATTTTGCAATCCCAGAAGACTTCCAAATCGATTTACCAACAATATGAAAACAACTTACTAATATTCTAATGGTTGTCCTCAAGAAATGGACTCTCTGGTCCGCAGGCTGACGCTCAACCACTGAGCCAAACTGGCCAGGGCTGTCCTCAAGAAATAATCTCCATCCCATCACAGTTTATGTGATGTGCTAAATCTAAGAGGTATTTTAAGATAGTTGTATTTAACTGGGAAACTTAGAGTTGACTTTTGCTCAGAAAATGATGACAGTCCCCTCTTCTTTGTATTCCCATCTTGCCCCATCCCTCAGCCCAGGAACAGTGAGTCAATTTAACAAATGGAATCAGCCAAACTACTCCATGCATTCTCTGCCTGGTCAGAGAATGTAAGAAGTAAAGCCAATAGAAATGAAAATATCTAATTTCTAACTAAGTTGTTAAATAAAATTAGTTATTGTTAAGATAATATATATCATGGAGAAACCACATAAAAGTCCCAGAAAGAAAAAGACCAAAACTCTTTCCTCTCAAATGATAGCAGGCCCTTTGTGTTGTTTGTTTTTTGCCAGAACCTCTAATTTTCTTCAATATGACTTCCATCCTCACTCCCTTATGCCCTTGGGCTTGATTTCCTGTAATGAACCAACTTCTCTAAAACTGCAAACATGACCGTGATCCCTTCCACCCGACATACACCCTGGATCCCTGCTCTAGAAGTTTTCTTCATTGTTCCTCTAGGTCACTGGCTCTCAGCCTGCGTTTTTCATTGAAATCACCTGGAAAACTTTTAGACCTATCCCTAAGCCCATTCAAAACAAATCGGATGAAAATCTTAGTCACCAGTATTTCTATAAAGCTTCGGGACAATTCTAATGTGTAGCCAGGGATGCGACCCAAAGCTCTAACTAGGAGGCTTGATTTAAGGACTTCAACTATGTGTAAGTTTCATTGTGTCTAGGCCCTTAAGGGCAGGTGTTAACATTTATAAGGTTTTCTGGAGGTTTTAAACCCCACATAAAATCCTGTTCTTCATTTGACATAGAAGGGAACAAAGTGTCCAGGAAGGTCAGTGAGGCAGCCCAGGCTCCTTAGCTGGGGTGAGGGTGGGGGTGGTCCCTGCTCTGCCCAGTGACTGGAGGAGGTCCATTCCTTTGTGGAAAATGGAAAACTAACCAACCAATCAACCAAGCAACTAGCCAGCCAACCAGCCAACCCACCAACCCTTTGAGATCCAAATATACACGACCATTCCTAGTGCCCATCCCTCCCACACTGTGGGTGATGGGCCCCTGCATTTACCGCCCTTCAAGGCTGTCTTTGGCATCCACAACAAACCAGATTTCCCTTGTGTGTGATGGTGGAGCAGGAGAGGATAAGAGAAAGGGGGTCTTGCTGGCCACAGTAGAATTTACAGCACACGCTCTCAGGCTCTGGGGTCAGACTGAGGTGTGATTTGGGGAATGTGGCTTTTTCTCCCTGTGCTTCAGGTTCCCCCAGCAGTGGAACAGAGGCAACAGTGCTTCCCAAAGTAGGTGTGAGAGATACGTGATGTAATGCTAGATCAAAGTTGAGCCTGGGACACACCACACACTAAACAGTGACTGTTACTGTTACTGCTCCCTGCTCTGTTGCCTTCTGGGAGTCACCACAGCTCTCAAGACCCCATCGGGCAGCCTTGACTTCGGCATCTCAAGGGGATCAGCAGCAGCTTTATTTTCTAATAATTTCTGGTGCCTGAAGTCTCTTCTGTGCTTGTAACTAAGCACCAGTCTCACGCGGCAGGTCACTCACTGCCAGCAAGTGCAGTTGTTAAAAGTCTGGATATACCAGCTCTGCATGTCCTGGCTCTACAGGAGCCCACAGAGGGCAGTGGGTCCATGCACCAAGACGAAGGATGGATTTCTCCTAAAGACCTATGAGTATGTCATAAAGATGCTACATGTGTGAAAGGCCCAATGTACCCACCAATGGCCAGATCAGAGGAGCTTGTATCACTTACTTTGGAGAGGCGGCTCATTCTCTCTTCGTTGTCTTCCAGGACACGTAAACTCGGAGGAACATACCAGAAGCAGACATTTGTATGCTGAGGCTACATAGAAGGAAGTAAGATTCACACTCAGCCCAAACTGGCAATTTTGAAAATTCCAAGCACATTTCTAATGTATTTATTCTGTAGCTTCTGAATACAATTCCCACTTTTAAATCTGTAATCACCTTTGAAGTGCCTGACTTTCGCAACATTATACAGTTATTTTTTGTGAATTTGATTTTTACTCCAGCTCAGAATAGCTACCCCATCATCCCTGCTTCTCCTTTGTAATGATCCCCTTACCTGGATCGTACATATTGACAAAAAAAAAATATCAGGGATAAGAATGGCGATTGACTAAACATTTTGGGATTGTAGGATTCAGAAGACATACCTTTCCATCAAACACCATTTCATATCCTTCTCGGTTTTTTATGATATTGTATAAATACTCTGCCAGCTCCAAACACTTGTCAATATGTGCTTCAAACCCAGTAGTTCCCTGAGGAAGAGAAGAAGAAAGAGTCTCAGGCAGGTTGAGAAATGTGGTGAGCATCCAGGCTGAGATGCGGGATAAGTGGTCCCTCGAAACAAATGGACTTTCTGCCACCTCTGTCTCGGCTCTGCTGCTGCACTTCCCTCACATAAGACAGTGTTTCTGAAGTTTTTCTGGCAATTATTTCTTCTTTAAAGTTCTCGCCCTCGGGTGTTTTGTTCCCTGTCGCGTCAGTCATTACTGCTCTGCACAGAGGCTCCTTTTCTTCCCAGAGCCCCCATCCCCCAGGCAATTATTTTGATCACTCAAGGGAAAGATGTGCACCTGCCATTCACAGGGGTGATTATGAAGGCCACTGATGACAGCAGGGCTGGGCTATTCTCTTCCAGTGGATGAGAAGCATCATCGGAGATCACCCCCAACCCCAACGGAAGCATGCTTAGCTCCAGCCCATTTGTCATTTCCAGACCCCACTTTTGTTCACAAAATGTACTCCCATCATAGAACAAACAGGGTAGGTCTCAGTGAATATTTGTGGAACATGTGAATGAACACATCTTAAGGGGCACGCAGATGTTTTGTTAGCCTGTCACTCTGCAAAGCTCATTAGATTTCTCCTCTGCGGACAAATGACTGATGTGTGTGTAATGGGCAAACATGATCACAGAGGTCCTTCAGCTTCCAGCCCTGGAAGCCCAGGGTCTAGACTTAGGAAAAACAACACAACAGCCTTGACTGGAACTGTTTAACTGACATCAGGCCACACTAGGGAATTGCTTTTCAAAATGGCTTTTCTTCAGTGTTTGTGGCATGCTAATGGGAAGCTTAGAAAAACAGCTGACGCTCATTCCAGGAGCTCTCAGAACTAGCCTCCCAGTGACTAATCCAACATGGAAACCAGAGTGAGCAATTGTAATGGAGATAAGATGAGCCCACTTTCCTGTTTACGCACAGTCTGGTCATCCTAGCTAAAAGAGGGATCCAGCATGGCCAGTGACATTTAACATCTGACACATATTTAAGAATAAGCTGCCTTAAAAATAGCCTCATGGGGTTAGAAATCTATTTCTTTGGAGATTGCTGCCCTAGCTTATTGGTTTAAGAAAGCTGACTGGTTCCTAATGAGCCCAGGGAAGGACTGGGCAGCCTGAATGTTCATGCCAACACCTGCGCCATGTGCTCCATGAGTCTGTGGGTGTCAAAGACATTAGGATTGGTTTAGACTGACCTGGAATTTTGGGTCCACTTGGGATGGACCCCAGGTAGGAGAGAGAGAGGTTAGTTGTTCCTCAAAGTGGATCCTTTGGACCAGTCTAGAGCTGAATTTAAACTCGCACATACTGATCCAGGATATGGCCAGGACTAGTATGACTCTGACCCTGTCCAGTGTATGACCTTGGCTAATCTCTCTGGTCATGTGAGTATAATGATGTATGTGTGATTATGTCTCACACAGAGACAATAAAATGAATGCTCTGGAAATGGGTTTGGTTGTATTGCAAAGGGAGTAGAGGTCCTCTGGTCGTGGCTAGTCCAGGACTTCACTCTGGAGGTGAACAGGAAGAGTCCAACTGCCCCTTTAGCTGATGGCTGAACAGGTGCAAGGGGAGCGACACAGGAAACTCTAGTGTGCCCTTAGGAGCCTGGGGCCCCTCCTTTTGTGTTAGATAGTTATGGAAATAAGATCAAGATTTTATTTTGAAGGTTTTGAAGCTTTTAGGAGATTATCTAAAAATTATTTACTCATCAAGCTCATGTTGAGTAGTTATCATGTGCCACACAGCCTATATTGTGAGAATGACCCAAGTGCATGTAAAACTTTATCAGACATTATATCATTGTGACCTGAGTCACTGTGAAGGATGCTGAAGGCTCAGATGGGTGTTTCTAAGTGGAAAGCTGGATCCCAGCATCAGGGTTATGTCATGGAGCTTCGGGGAAAAGATGGTTTTATTTTCTCCCTCATTGCCCACACTTAGGATTGGTTTAGACTGACCTGGCTGAAAAATATACTCCTTAAGGCTACATATTTAAGTTCCTTTTGTTCATTGTCACATCACTCATACCAGCAGTGCTGGGCATATATTAGGTGCTCAGTGTATATCTTTTGAATGAATGAAGTATAACTTTAATCTCTGGGGCAGTGTTTTTACAAAGTACATTCTGAAGAACCAACTGTATCAAAACCAGGTTAATTGTGTTAAAAATGTAGACTCTCATTCCCTGGCTGGTTTGGCTCAGTGGTTGGAGCATGGGCCCATGGAACAATGAGTTGCGGGTTCGATTCTGATCAAGGGCATGTATGTCAGTTTGCGGTTCATTCTGGCCCTGGTTGGGTTGTGTGGGAGGCAGCCAGTCGATATGTCTCTCTCACATTGATGCTTCTCTCTCTCCCCCTTCCTCCCCCTCTACCTGATGATAAATAAAAAAATATCCTTGGGTGAGGATTAAAAAAAAAAGTAGATTCTCAGGCCCACCGCAGACTCCTAACATAGCATTTCAGATGAACTCGGTTTGTGTTATCTTCCTCAGAGATCTCACAGTCTCCTGATGTTCAGCTATGGCCTTGGTGTCATCTGGGGGCCCAACAACCGAGTGCTGCTCATGGTTTTTCTCTGCTTCTTAAAACCTTCATCTAACGCTCTCAGGCCCAGAGCTGCTGCTTCTGAAATAGCTGCTGCGTCCGAGCAGCCAGCTCCATTGTTTCTGCCATCATTTGGACAATGGCTCCCTAACTACCTTCTATCTAGAGTCTTTACTAGGCTAAAGACGTATGCACTTTAGCCCCTTCCAGACCTTCTTTCTGGAATGTCCTTCTCCCAGCTCTGGTTAATACCTACTATTCTACCTATCCTGTTCAAGACCCATCTCAAAGGTCATCTCTTGATAAGTCATTCTTAACTCTCAACCCAGGAATGAGCTCTCCATCCTTTAACTTCTCAAGCTGTGTCTGTGTTTATTTTATGACCATTTACATGCTGTCTCATGTGATGGTTATCTGTGCATTTATCTTATCCTGTATGGAAAATTATAGCTCCTTATCCCATTCAGCACCAGGCCCAATAACAGCTGCTCAATATCTGCTTATTAAAATAAATTTATATTTTAGAGAGAAAGTGAACATTCAGTCACTCAGCAAAGGATATCACTAGCCATCAATGTCCCCTTAATAGTTTTCTCCTGTTATTTTTTGTCCCCAGCCATTTGCCAGTCCCTCTATTATCTATGTTTAAGTTAGGGAGGCCAATCACAGAAAACTAAAAGAACACCTACCACTTTGTATAAAGATACAAACACAGAGATTTACAGCGAAAACTCATTAGTTACATATTAAATCATCCTTGCAGGCTTAAACAAAGGGGACTAATTTTAAGTATTTTTTTCTACCAAGTTTTTATCACTAAAGAAATCTATCAAGATGGAAAATAACCATCAAGTGCTAATAAAATGCAGACGAAATGAAAGTTCTACTTAATAAGAACAGAGTTGAGGGCAGGCAGAGCATCTCTGCTAATGACAGGATAACGTATCACAATGCAGTCTAGAACGCTTCCCAGCATCCTACATTTAAAAAATAATAAACTTGATCTAATCACGTTATCTTGGACTTCCTGTGAGCGCTGTCATTAGTGCATTTAGCTTCGTTAGTCATTAACAGATTAAGAAATAGTAATTTATACATAGAATTCTATCTTTCATGTGGTTTATCTTAGGAGAAAATGTGGATTCACTTGAACACTGCCTTCTCAAGGCATATCTGATAACAGAGGGCTACCTGATGATTGAGTTTGTCCTCATTCAGACTGTTTCCTCATTCCTGAGAGCAAGAGGGCATGTAAGATAGAACATCAGGGCTCACTCTTTCGTGGTTCTCCTTGGGAGAGATGATCTCTCCTTCCGTGGCTGGCATTAATAGATGGAGTTTAAGTGAAAAGGTAATTATCCTCACCTTTGATCCAGAGTGTGAGACTATGTTTATTACTTTTACAATAATTATTAGCACCTCATTTTGCAAATAAAATAAACGCAGCTTTAAGTTGAAAGCCAAATAGGCGTTCTGCTGTTCAGATGTCTAGATGCTTAAGGTTACTGCACAAGAAATTAAGAGACCAGGTGTCCCTACATTATGTGGCCGCTCTGATTGTTCTGTTTCTCTTTAAATCCCCTCTCCTGGTGCCTTCATTTCAGCACTTTAGAAACTGGATCCTCTGCCTTTATTTCAGGCTTCACCTGTTCCTGCTGTTGAATCCACACCTAGTGTCCTCCAAGTTACTTCCCTAGGAACCAAACAGCGGCACCATGCTGGTGAGGAGGCTACAGATGGACAAGGAGCAGCAGGAACTGATGAACCATGAGAGGAATGTTTTGTGTAAACATGGCTAGTGATCATCATCTTAATAAAAACACCACAGAAAAAGGAGACAAAAAGGATGGTACTGAACAATATTTACAGATCAAGCTTTCCTCAGCTTGCTAGCTCATATTTTCACCAATTGATGAAATGAGAAGCCCACTCCTTTTAAATAGCTTGAGAGCACACCAATAATTCATGTTCTTGATTTATTAATTTTTCTCAAATAAAAGTGTCATTGCCAACTGAATGGGCCTCATCATGGGTGATGAGGACCAGGTCTATGTTCTTGTCAGGCTTTCAACCTTCAAACAAGGAAGAGGTCCCCTGCCCAGCTCAAGGGATGGGAACTCACCCATCATACAACCTTTACAGAGCAACAACTTACCTGGGGCCTCATACTTAGCTGCCCAATACTTAGCAACACAGAGAAAATTCAGCTAAGGTAAATAGTATTATGGAGGCTTGCCTGGAGAATATGTAGTCCAGCCATCCCTGGAGACCATCTGAGGGTTATTTCTACATGAAGCTTCTTTCCATTTAACCTGCCTTTTTTTTCCAGGAAGGATTTAAAGAAGAGTCCATAAAATCATTGTGGACTATATTGGTTGACTCTCAAATTCCCTTTCTCTTGTTAGCCATCCCCCTCTCTAAACCGCTTAAGGCAATTCAGTTTACTTTGAAAATGTTATAAGCAACAGCATGTGGGACTTGTGGTTGTGGACATGGTGGCTACCTCTTTACACAGACTCGAGGAAAAGCCCATTCTGTGGTCTAATCCTGGCATGTTTCACCCCTACTGACCTACTTATCTGGTTGTTCCCATGGATTAAACCTGTCACATGTGTGTTTTGGCTACTTAACAAACTTAGAACTAAATTGGTGGGACCTTCCCCACACATAGGACCTCAGGGCATGACTTCCTCCCAATTGCTTCCTTTTCCATTTCCTTTGTCAAGTGTTCCTTACACACTCTTAGCAGCTGGGCTTTCCTAGCATGTCCAGCTGGCTCTGGGCATTGCCTCCTGCAGGAGATAAAAGAAACCAGGTGGGAAGTCACTGATTTGTGACATTTAAGTTAGGAGTCTGGTCAAAATGAAAAGTAAAATATTTGGCCTTTCCAGCCTGCTTACACTTAAATAATGCACTTTGAAGGTTACAATTAGGTCCAGTCAATACTACACACTATTAGTTAGAGAGTTTGTGTTTCTGGGAGAGGAGTGATCATCCACAGTTAAATTCTGAGGTCAATCGAGAAACCATACAAAGGAGGTCACTAGGTACTTCTGGAGTTTTTAAAAAGGCTTTATAACTAGAGGTTACCTCCTTGAAATATCAAAAATAAACTAGCATGATGGTTTTTTTTTCCTTTTCCTTTTTTTGTTCTATAACCATATCCTTTTAGATTACATTAATCTATCCAGTGACCAATCAATGGATAAAAACCAAGAGTTGGGAGACAACAACAAAAACACTTAGTAAATACCAGCTGTTCTGCCATACAAAGCAACATGGATTTGTTTTCTAAACAACTGAACATTCAGAGCAAATTGGCTTAAAAAAATACAACCAGTTTTTTTAAGTACTATATTCTTGCCCATGGTAGAATACAGATAAGTAGATATAACATTAAAAAAACTTAATCTTGGGTAAGTAATTTTCAATTTGGAAATCAATTATTAACACGTTATACTAAGGCTCACCAGATATTGTTTGTGTTTTTAGTCAACATTCAGCTGATTTACGCGTGCTCACCTTTGCTCTCCACATCAGCCATAACTTAAAGACATCGACATGGCGTCCACACTGCAAGGCCTTATCCCCAGTGTCGTAGGACAGGTCATAATGTTTATCTTGCTGGAAGAGGTAGGAGGCATGCATCTGGTTGCAACTCTGCATCAATCCCTAGAAGAGAGGAGGAAACCTTGGAAACTGTATTGATTTTTTTGGGTGTTCTATTAGATTTACACTGTGATAAAAATTTTTAAGAAAAAAATAAAAGAATATCCTAGAGAAAGAGAACAGTAAGAATCAAACGGAAAAAAAAGTAGGGCTGTTGTCTGAACAGGATGGACTGTGCTAAGTCAACTCTGTGGGATAAATGGCTCAGGGTCAGATGTTACCAGAGTTTAATCAGAGAAGGCATTTAAGAGACATCACAATTAGAGTGTAATGCTCATTCTTTGGGGAAACATCCCGATGTTCTGGTTTTGTTGCAATTATTATAGTCTGGAAACGCTTTGGTTCTGTAAAATATTATTAGTGTGATTCGTCTAGGTCAAGTGCTTTATCATTTAGCTGTTAAGGTTGAGTTCTCTTTGGAAACCATAGCTTTTAAGATAGTTCATTGCTCTCATTTTTATATGCTGGAGTCTAAAAAAAATAAAGACATGGCTACTCTGAAATGTCTTAAATAACCAATATATCAACTGTCATGTCCTTCTCTCAAGAGTGGTTAGAGTGTCTGCACTGCATTTCACACTGTTGTTTATGGGAGTTACAGTGGAAAGTCTCGTTGTCGATGACCATGTTCCTTGGCACCATAAGCTCACTGTGGAAAATGAGTGGCAAAGTGATTGAACTTTTCCAAAGGACAGTGAATGAATCATGCTCTCTGACTAAAACAGCACTGTCAGTCGCCTCGTTAGAAAGCCCACCACGCTCCACTTTGTCACGAACCACAGGACTCCTTCCACTCTTGCATCATCCACGGCATAATTTTGATTTTACAGAAGCTTTGGCACTTTTTTTCCTCTTGTGACTCACGACCAGAGAAGAAGAGATGAAAATGTGATCATTTAGTTGAAGTTAGCAGCGAGAACCCTTTAAAAAATTATCCAAACTAAAACAAAGTGTAATGCAGCTGAGATTTTAAGTAGGGCTCAGCCTTGTGGTTTAGGCTTCATAGTCATTGGAATTCATTAAGTTGTTTTTGAGACAAAAGGAAATGACACAATATAATTGAAATAGGGCAGTAGAAAGATGTAGAATTTGAAAAAGAAAATTCACTTGACCAATACAGTCAAAAATTGCTGCAGGTGATTCTGTTTCGTTTCACGGTCACGGAAACTTGGCACCGATCTTCCCAGCCCTGCAAGCTTGCATATAGGTGCCATCAATCCTAAGGGAGCCATCCCAGAGTGTGGACTGGTGGACAGGTGAGACCCGCTTCTACTGGACAGGAAAAGCCACTCAGAGCACATGACCTCTAAAAGGTCGAAGAGCACTGGTTTCAATGTGCAAAAGGATAAATAAAAGTGATGTTGCTTTTCACATAAAGAGCCTTGGTGAGTAACATCCGGTTCTGAGCCATTACAAAGTTATAAGCCATTATGTCCCAAACTATGTTAAACACATGAATAGGTGCTGAGCTGTAAAATAGTTGCTGTAAAAGAGATTCCCATGGTCAAAGAAACATAGGAAATTCTACGTCATAAATCCCTTATTTTCAGATATTTGCAATATATATCAGCACATTAAAGGCTCTAATATGCCCAGAAATAAACTCGCTTTTAACTCTTTAATCCAACATATCATAAGCTTTTTGAAGACTGAGAATTCTCTCACTACAGAATACATACTGCAGTCTTACAGAAAGGCATTATTCCCTGGTTCCCAATAAGGGCAATACTGTCACAGTATCATGGATTTGGAAGGGATCCTGGAGCTATTGATCTATTCCTTCCCAAAGAGGGAATCCCTTTTATCCTCTTACTAATAAATGACTGTCCAATTTCATTCAATCAACTCCCTTGATGAGGAATTTATTTCTACATAAAGCAGTCATTACTTTTTGGGTAGTTTACTTTTTAGAAAAGCGTTCCTTTTATTGACCCCAACTCAGACCTAAAATCATGTTGTATTCTATGACTTCCATCAGATCTGTACCACCCAGTGTTACTAACCCAGTTCCCTGAAGCCTCAAGAAAAAAAACAAAATCTCTTCCACTTGAGAGTCATTTAAACTGTAAAGGCTGCTTCCTTCCTTCCTTCCTTCCTTCCTTCCTTCCTTCCTTCCTTCCTTCCTTCCTTCCTTCCTTCCTTCCTCCCTTCCTTCCTCCCTTCCTTCCTTCCTTCCTTCCTTCCTTCCTTCCTTCCTTCCTTCCTTCCTTCCTTCCTTCCTTCCTTCCTTCCTTTAAACATCCTTAGTTCTTTCAACCCCCTCTCTTACATGCTTACCAAGTGTTCTACACTATTAAAGCCCTAGCTTGCTGGGCTCCCACATACTATTTGGCACCAAGGTAAGCAAACCATGCCAGGTGAGGACTGCCACTGCCCTCATCCTGAAACTCCGCTCTTTCATTCAACTAATGTTTTGTGAGCGAACAGTTATTTTCGCTTAACCCATTGTTGACCCCACAGAGTACAACCTAACGTCCTAAGCTTTTTCACAAGTAGAACAATTTAGCCATGTGTGAAACATGGCTGTCTTGTCTAGTCAAACTGTAACCAGACTATACTAGGGCATAAGAGCAGGACCTTACAACTATTAACATTTCCCCCTTTTTGGATGTAACTCACTGTTCCAGTCTGTAAAATGATCCTGTGTTCTGAATCTGTCACCACACACATCTACTCCCCACAGAGAGACTGGACCACCAGCCAGGAAGGACGTACCTCTTCCCTAACCAGGAGAGCAGAGCACTGCAAAGGGACGCCCATCATCTTGTGTGGATTCCATGTCACAGAGTTGGCCCTAAGGGAAACAAAGCAGGTTAAGAGGTGGCATCCACAACCTGCTCAGACTACTAAGGCCCTGGGCATAGGCAACAGAGCTTCAGAGTTCTTGGCACTGTTTCCAGACTTCAGGAGGACACTAAATTTTCAAAAAAACCAGCGGATCTACATTCTTTTCTCTCTCTCTTTAAAAAGAAAAAAATGTTTTATTGATTTTTTTTTTTTTTTTTAAGAGGAAGAGAATGGGAGAGGGACAGAGAGATAGAAACATCAATGAGAGAGAACATTGACTGGCTGCCTCCTGCATGCCCTGCACTGGGGATGGAGCCTGCAACCCAGGCATGTGCCCGGACCAGGAATCAAACCGAGACCTCAGTCCATGGACAATGCTCAATCCACTGAGCCACACCAGCCGCGCTCCTCTTCTCTTTTCCATGGAGACATTCATTTGGCTTCCAAGGTGGTCTGAGAGCCCCTTCAAATGACTGGAATCATCCAGTCCAGGGTCTCGCCTTTGGCTACCAAGGAGCAGAGCATGAAGCAAGTAAAGGAGCTGCCCTCATGTGTGTCTCCACTGCTCCTGACACAGTGATGGCCTGGAGCTCAGAGCCATGGCTCATTGCACTGCTTAATTCTGACCTTTTCCCAATCCAGTTTCTCCTTCTTCTGAGTCAACTGATTACCAAATTTCTCAAATGTGTCATTTCACACTAGCTTCTAGCTTGCCCCCTGCTGCCATTTCTTTTTGAGTCAGAGTCATTCTTCAGACTGCAGGTGAGATACACTGTGGCTCCAACGGTGGTTTTCAATCGGGTTGGTTTTAACACACTGGAGAAATTCAATGCCCTCCGTCAGCATTAGTGATTCTCAGCCCAGGCACTTAGACTCTTTGAAAAGTCTAAACCATAGTCCCGAGTCAGATTCCTTTACTAGTAATAATAATAACTATTATTGTTATTATTTTAATCTAGATACAGCAATTGTGTCTTAACTGACTCTTGGCCTCCATTCCATCCTCTACCCAGCTCCACAGTCACGTCTTAACTCTGTTCATGGCTCTCTCCTCTTTCTAAATTGTTGACAACTTCCTTTTGCCTCCAGCCCAAATTCAAACGATAAGGGATGGTTATGATGCCCACACGGGTAAACCCCAGGCTACGTGTTCAGCCTAGTGTCCTTGCACTTTCTTGTACCCATTTCTATCACACCAGACGGTTTTGTTCTCAGAAAATAATATGCTCGTGCTCCTGGGTCTTCTAACGCGATTTCCTCTTCCTGGAATGGTACTTCCTTTTGCCTCACTTGGCTAAATCTTACTTTTTCTTTTTAAAAAATCTTTATTGTTGAAAGTATTACAGATGTCTCCCTCCTTCCCCCCCCCCCCACCGACCTCCTCTCCCCTCCGCTCCCACTCCCCTCCTCATCTCCCCAAACTATTGTCCACTGGTTGTGCATATATGCATAGAAGTCCTTTGATGTATCTCTTCCCAACCCTCCCACCCCCATCCCTTTGAGGTTTGTCTTACTTATTCTTTAAGATCAAGTTTTATCTCTGCAACTCTCTTGGACTTCATTCAACTTCTCTCCTTAACTCCGGCCGTACTGCTCCAACTCCTCCTCCAGTGCCCAGGGAAAGCAGCGGTCCCTCTGAGTTCCTGCTGCTCACTTTACATGCTTGTCAGGCAGGTGAGTCCCTGCACACAACTTCTGAGAAACTGAATGTGCTCTTGGTATGAACAGACTCACGGGAGGAGGAAGAAGCAGGACCAGCCATGGCAGCTGCTATGGACTGCGGCCCCTCAGGCTCACCCTGCTCCCAGCACCTGAGGTGCAAAACCTTGGGGAGAAATGAGAGGCTGGGAAAGATCCCATTCGTCTATTTGATGAAAGGCTCAGCCGGCCAGTCAGAGAGAACACTTATCGGCCTGGGGATCGTATCTGAATCAGGGAATAGTCCAGCTCTTCTTCTGGACTGGAATTGAGGCAATAAACATAGGCAGTTCATGGCCAGATGGATACTGCCCCTGGAAAGAGGGCTAAATGACTTCATGACCGGAATCAAGGAACCTGGGGGGTAAGCAGCAGTTAACAGTGGTTAGGGGAGGCGAGCTCGGGAGACAGACAGTGTGTTTGCACCCAGGTTCTATCACTTCCTAGCTATGTGATCTTGAGCAAGTTACTTAATCTCCCTGTGCCTAGATTTCCTTTCTTGTAAATAGAATACTATTAAATAGTTTGGGTAAGGTGCTTATAACTGTGTCTGACACACCATAAGCATGAAATAGGCCTGGCTTTCACTTTGATTTCAGCTCTATCACTCACAAGCTTTGGGACACTGGGCACACAGATGCCACCACTCCGTAACATTCCACAGCAATATACCTAATCCTGACGCAACCCAGCTGTGTCCGAAATGACACCTAAAGAAGAAGAAAGCCGCTGTTCTCCATTTCTCTGATTGGAGGTGTTCATTTCTATGCAGTGGCCAACTGGCCTTTTTAGACCAGAAAGAGCCCAGGTCCACAACTACCTGTCACTGTCCTGCTCTGTTTTAGAGGGGCTGCCTCATAAGAAGGCAAAAAGCTGAGCAGAGTGATTCAATGACATAGCCTTAATTTATTGGAGAAATGTTGGCAATGTATCAAAAAACAGCCTCAGTTTTACTTCAAAATGTTCTGCCGTGGGATTCAGACATGTGGTGTCTGTGAATTCCCACAAGTTGGAGAGAAGGGAGTCCCTTAGGGCTGTTTTCAGACAGAGCCTTGTCCTTGTGCCCTCATTTGCACCTCATACTCAGCAGACCCCTAAGGATCTTCACTTGCTCCTCCCCAACCTCCCAGACCTCCTGTTTCTCCTCTAATCTTCTGTGCCTCAGTTCCTCATACCGTTTTCCTCCCACACATCCAGCTCCCAAACCTGTGATGTTTTGGTTTCATTCTCTTCTTCCCCGTCCCCTGACAGCACCCCTTGCAGTTGTGTATTTCCCCACCTCCTGGGTTCATCCGCTTTCTTCCCCAATCCAAGAAATATAATGTTCTCTGGGCATAGTAGTGGCTCCCACAGCAGTGATTGTCAGCTCAGGGTTGAGCCTGACTTGGCCCTGCGGGCAGTCCCCCCGCTGAGGCACACTGGGCAGGACTTGTCACGGCCATGACGCCACCGCGGTCTCCAAGCAACTCATGTGAACATTCTCCAAGGACCTTTCAAACCTGCATGTCCCTGATCGTCACCTTGATGTCCTTCTTCCACTTCTGCCTGATGATGCTCCAGTGCTCACTGCCTGTTCAGGAGGAATCATCTCTTCCTGGTGCCCTCCAAACAGCTCGCGTGTCTATCTCTCGGGCCTCTGCTTTTCTGCCTTGAATTGAATCCGTTGTTGATTGCCAGTCTTCCTGATAGATCCTCCGCCCCTTGAAGGCAGGCTTCCTGTCATATTCATCCTTGTGCCCTCACTCATCCCAGTGTGAGGTTTGCAGACAGCAGAGGTTCTGCAACTACTGACTTGAATTTCGGAGCCCCTGGCTCTCAGAGCAGGAGTGAGGGCAATAATTGTAACCAGGCAGAAGCTGCACCAGAACCTTCTGTTGGGCCAGAAAGCCTTGGGAAGGGACCACAGCGGCGACTCACTGTAGGTGAGCAGCAGCCTGTGGCCAGAGGGTTAACAAGTCAGTTTGCAGTGCGGGAAACACACTCTGAAGCAGTAGGGCTCCTGGCACGCCCTCCCAGTGACACCATCTCTAGGATTCTGCAGAGTGCTATTGAGGAAGACAGTTGCCTTCTGAGAATTGGGTTGGTTCTCAAAGGGGATGCCAGGCAGGGCTCTGGGAGCTTGTGCCATTTGGTTATGAGGACAGCACTCTGGGATCTCTGTGACCACTAAGGAACCTCTGGATTGGGGACAAAAATCAACTATGGATTTCCTCCACTTTAGTGTGAGTCCTAATGCTCAGGAAAACATGATACCCCAAGTTAGGCCAATTTCTTTCCTAAATTTGTGCCCATGCACATTATGCCTAGGGGTTTTCACCAAAGAAAGTGTGCTTTTTGCTGATGGTAAGTCAGCAAGATGATACTCTCAGGCAAATGGGTGGCTAAGGGGATTCTGCTCAAAGCGGAATGCCATCAGTCCCTCATTTCTAGGACTTCATGTCTAGCTGTTTCATTCAGCAGAGTTTGTTACAATACAGTTCCAAGAACAGGGGCAGTGACAGGACTCTGTGTTCCCTTGTGAGTGTTCTAAGCTTTGTTCTCAGAAACGGTCTTCAGTGCAAAGGAGTGCGGGTGTGTATTTTTCCAAAGCTCAGGGGAGGTAATTTAGCAGCTTTCAAGTCATCATCAGCGTGGGGTGCTGCGTGGCTTCAGGACTTGGAGTCCCAGGTGGCAGTCAAGGTAGAATAACAGACGCTCACTTCTTGTGCCAGTCAAAAAGAGGCTCGGAGAAGAGAAGACACTGTGTACGGAACAGCCCTATCAAGAGGACATGAATTTGCCCTGGCCGGTTTGGCTCAGTGGTTAGAGCATCAGCCTGCGGTCCCGAGAGACCCAGGTTTGGTACCCGCCGGGGGCATGTGCCTTGGTTGCAGTTTGTCCCCAGCCATGGTTAGGTCGTGCGGGTGGCAGCCACTAAATGTGTCCCTTTCATGTTGATGTTGGTCTCTCTTTTCCTCTTTTTCCTTTCCACTTTATCTGAACAAAAAAAAATGGAAAAACGTCCTCGGGTGAGGATAAAAAAAAAAAGGACATAAATTTAATTCTTGTTCTGATCATCTAAACAGGCACCTCCTAACTGTTCTCTTCTGTTCATTGCCTCCTCCTTAAGCTTCAGGTTTCATGCAGATCTTCCTGACAAGGGGATCTGGCCTGTGAGAAGCCCTGAAGGTCCAGAAGCACAGCCTAGACCTGGCTCAGTGTGGGAAAGGGACAGGCCTGTCCTCGTCCACTCACACCTTCGAGGTGCCTGCACGCAGAGCAAGGGCCGCTGACTCAGGGACAGCAACCCTGCTGGCCTAGCTAGACTCTTCCCAGCCTTCTTTCACTAACCGGGCCGGGTGCCCCCCGACGCTGCCTCAGTAACCCCACCCCTCTTTCTCACTCCTAGATTCTCTGGGGTGCGTGGGCCTGGGCAGCACGCAGCACTCCCGGTGTATTCGTTCCGGCCTGGCTGCTCGGCATGACCCGTGCTCACAGCCGCTCCCCTGCGCCACCAGCCTCTCTCCGCACCCTGGGACAGCAACTGTGCCAAGCTGTCCAGGGGCAGAGCCAGTGGAAAGCTTGTCCTCGGCAGCATCTGGCTACTTGGCAGGGCATGCTGGGAATCTGGCAGCCTCGAATGAATTCGGGCTTTCTCCGCTGCCGGGGTGTCCGAGCTCACAGCCACAGTTGACCTGCCACGTTGTGATGAGAGAACTGGAACCTCGGAGCGCCCTCTGCAGGTGGGCCAAAGCCCGAGGCTGGCTGTGCATTCTGTGGGGTTTTTTCTTTTTCCTTTGGTTTTGAATATGCTTCACACAAATCAAACATCATCTCTTCTGTGTTTTGCCGCTTTTTCTCAGTGAGTTACTACTCAGTGTCTCAATAAAGCGTGCTTTGCAGAATCCATCAGAGTTATAGCAGAACAAATAATATTACGGGAATGAAAGCATGTTCCACTGTAAGTAAACTGGCCATTTAAGCCCAAACCCAACATAAATTATAAGGTTCTTATTTGCTTTGCTAAATTATTTACTGGTTTCTTTAAAGCAGTGGATATTATCCTTTATGGAATCCAAAAGCTATAGATCTCTTCCCTAGAAAAGTTTTAAACAGTTTCGGTGGTTCATTCAGAGATCCCAAGAAGGTTATTCCTGATCTTTTGGTGAACCATGGGCCCCAGACAGGAACCTCTGTTTGACAGACATTCCCCTTGGGTCATTAGATATGGGCTTTGATTTCCTTATGCTGATTACACACAATATTCACACACATATGACCACACAAGGCAGAGCACACAAGCACTGTGCAGAATGGGCGCGCCTGTACACAACCGTTCTTGGAAATCAGGTGTAACTTGCTCTTCACATTTAGCTCTCACACTTGACATTGTGAATAAGAGAAATGTGCGTACCTCTCCACGCCGCTCAGTTTCCACTTGTGTTTTTGGGACATCAGCAATCCCCCACCCCAAGCGGCCTGGAAAAGGAAGATCATACAAGGAAAAAGCCAGCGGTTTCTCATTGCCTAGATTTCTACAGTGTGATGTCTTTCAGAATGGTGAGAGTCTCCTTGACCCCAGGCAACTTAGGGGGTTGGCCACCTTCATCTAGCACTAAATTGTCAAAGTTTAAATGTGGGGGGGGGATGGGGGGATGCGGGGGGATGGTGTTCTAAGGTCTCGGACTCCAGCCCTCATTTATATAGTGTAAGAAACCACACTGTGGCCACGTTTTCTCAGTCTGCACGAGAGAGAGACAGAGTCCCCCACAGCCCGTCACCAGCGTCGGTTGTCCTGGTGCAGCTCCTCATCTCAGGATGAGAAAACCTGTTATCTCCACAGGTTAGAGAACATGGGCTGGGGACCAATTAAACATCTTCCAAGTTGCAAGGAAAACTCTTTGGACAATTCTGGATGATTCCAGATGGAGGAAGTGGCTTCACAGCCCAATTTAACTGCTGTGTAATTTTGGAGAAGCTAATTTTTCCGTCAAAAACAAAACAAACAGAAAACCCCATCACCAACAACAATAAATCAAGTGGGAAAGACGTGTACCAGTCAATTAGTTGAGCAATCAGAACATGTCCCTTAAAAATTTGTGCTCAAGTTTTAAGATTTGAATTGATATAGTAATCTTTAAAAATAGGATGTTAAGTGAAGATTCATTGGAAAATGTTTACATTCTTTGTGGGTAAAAATATTCCTGGGATAATTTTAAAGGAAAAAAAAAATAAAAAACCTGTTAGGGTGTAATTGCCCATACCCCTCTGCTGTAATTTCAATTCTTTTACACTTTCATAATTATCCAATTTTCCAAACGTATAAACATTAAAGACAATAAGAGATATGTTTCAAAGAAAGCTAACACAATTGGTTAAAAGATCTCCCAGCTCTATTGTAATAAAAATTCTGGAGGAGAGACCACAGCATCTGCTGGCTTAGGACACACAGACATTGCTATTTTTAAGGTTGTCGGGGTAATTCTCTTCCTGAATCAGCTAGCAAGGTTTAATAGGCTCCCAGTTCCGAGGCCAGGTCACTGAAGTCACTCAAGTTGCTCAACTTTTTCCAATGTCTTCGTGTATAAAACAAAGGGGTCTCTGGTAGATTAATGTACTACTTACACTGTGAATCAGGGAAGGAAGAGAAGATGAGTAATTGCAATGTAAACACCTCTGGACTAATATAAATGTACCTAGCTTAGCCTCTGCATGTTTTCTGCTCTGAATACTTATCATAAAGCCAAAAAGAGCTAAAGCCAGTGCTACCCGTCAACATTCTTGCACCAGAATCAAGTTACGCTTGCTTCATTGAGAAAGCCTTGCAATAAGAATATGTCAGCTGTACCAAACATTGTGCTTAGCAATGATTTGGCACCAACTCCTAATCTCATCCTGGATCATTAACAGTTTGCAGATAGCAGCTAATCTTTGAGCCACACTTTGAAAAATACTGGCCTAAATTTAAATTCCTGCACTTTGTCCTAAAAAATGTCAGTATTTTACTTGAAAATGTTTTTGTGGGCACACCTATATTTTTTTTCTTGAAAGTGACTAAGCCTGGAGTAAAAACTCTCATTTACAGTTTATCTTCTTAGCTGATCAAGCTAAGAAATTGGAAATTTGGTGGTAGGTATTTCTTAGCAAGTTGTCACATATGCTTTCCTCTCAATATATACAAATACCTGACTTGAGTTGAATTTTTTACCCTTTGGGTTCCCTGTATAAATGCAATTCCTACTTACCCTTTTGATCATTCTTGCAGGAAAGTAAGCTCTGCACGTGTGTGGCTGTGTGTATGTACCTAGGATGCTACAGCTCAATTTATTGAGACCTAAGTGCTCAGCTTGGGTACTGATCAAAAAAATAAGAATATTATCATGTCGGAACATTAAGTCATAATCAGCCTCCGACTGCTTCCAGTGAGCATTGTACATTCTGTGAGTCGTGTGCTATTTTGTCTTTGCAGTCTTTAAAAGCAGAAATGTCACCATTTGAAAATAAGCTGCTAACGAGAGAGAGAGAGAGAGAGAGAGAGAGAGAGAGAGAGAGAACAAATTTCATTCCACGAGCCCAGGTGAAAAGTGTGCAAGGACATTTCAGTGGCAGGCCCTATGGGATACTTACATCCACATGCATCCAGATCTTATACTTCTTGCAAATGTCAGCAACAGCTAGGAGGGGATCAAATGCTCCGTACACGGTGGTCCCAGCTGTGGCGCTCACAAGGAAAGGAACAAATCCCTGTGCAAAAGAGGAAGCCCCAAGTAATGTAAAACAGGGGTTCAGAGATTCTTTAAGATAGCTGGCAAAGACAAAGGGAACTCTCCCCCTATAATACACATGCGCGTTTCAGGAGTCTTCAGAAAGCTATTGAAACCTTGAAGCCTGGTAGGGACAATATTCACGCTCCGGACCGAATTCTCCTGGCCATTCTGTATGACTCACCAGTTTCCTTATAAGAGGCCCACAGGTCATTTATATATTCTAGGGAGATTTTTCTAGCCTTCCCTCCCCACTTTTGCTAACTTTCTAGTCTTTCTTTTTCATAACAGGGCCTTTGAACTTAATAACTAAGCAGAAAAGAGAACAAGAAGAAGGAACTTCAACCAGCCCATTACTTTTATTTGGAAAATTCTTAGATAATTTATTTGGAGTCTAAGAGAAGAGGATTCATATGAGGCTAAACAATAAGCCATGTCTTTTATCCGTATGAGTAGGTGTTAGTAGTTCTCATTCTGTCTGTCTCTGACTGCATGAAATTGATTGAAATAATAGGTGGCTGCGGAAGGAAGGCAGTAGGACTCAAATTGGATGAACTTGTTACTCCCCGTGGTGTAACATGATGTTACAGAGTCCGTCTGTAGGTGGCAGCAAAGGCTTAATCTGTGATTTAGTTACAAGAAGTAGTTCAAGCACAAGAACAAGGGGGAACCTCCTGCAGCCAATTTGTATGGGGGAAAAGGCATATAAACAGAAACAGTTAGTCCTGAGTGCATAATACTCAACAGGTGGTACAGCTCTGAACCAGGAGCTGTAGATTACACCCAGTGAAATGAGACTGAGAGGATTCCAGAAACAAGCTCTCTGGCTTGCGAACGATCCAGGGGTGTAAACGACTTTCCAGAGCTTTGTGGGACTCTCTAGCCGGTTTTCAGAACGTGTTACTTCTAAAAAGCGTTCTAAATTGCTTCTGAAAACGAAGGCGTCATATCAGCGTGTGCACAGGCAGGAAGAACGGCCCCTTTCGTATAGCCTCACAACAGTAACTGACCTGCTACATTAGGATTCTCTTGTTTTCCACGTTATCTTTGGAATGTGCCTGACGCAACACCCCATCACAGCCCTGGCCGGTTTGGCTCAGCGGTTAGAGCATCCGCCTGCGGTCCAGAGAGACCGGGGGTTCGGTTCCCACTGGGGGCGTGTACCTCTGTTGCAGTTTGTCCCCGGCCCTGGTTGTCCCTTTCGTGTCGAAGTTTCTCTCCCCATCCCCCCCCATCTGAACAAAAAATGGAAAAATGTCCTCCGGTGAGGATTAAAAAAAAAAAACAAAAAAAACCTCATCACACAAGACGATAAATGCTTTGGGAACTCTTACAGTGTTTTTGTGTATGTTATGTATTCAGCAACTTAAACCTTTCTAAAGCAGAGCCTACAACTCAGAGAAATAAATAATGACTGGATGCAAAATGCCATCTCATTAAAGCTGGGAGGTTGAGGCTGGGGTCTTCTTTTAAAAAATAAAACTAAAGTGTGTTCTCCGCTGGATAGAAGTACAAATTTGTACACTTAGCTTGTTATGAGCTGGATAAAGATCCCTACAAAAACTTACTTTTTGTTTGGCTTCAAGGATCCTTCTTTCAAGATCAGATGGGATCATTTTTCCCCTGAAAGGAAAAATACATTATCAATGTGCTTTGAATAATTTACTTTTTTTTTCTTTGACAAGCAGCCACCTGAGGGTAAAAGTCTAACCCTAAACCATTGATAATAATGGTCAGTTTAAACAAATCCTTGCCTCTTTTAAAAAAGAAATGCATTTCTTCTCTGAATGATGCAAGACTGCAATTTTTGGCACGCTCCAGGGACTCCTGACCACAGTGGGCTGATTGGACTTGTGCACCTGCACTTTGCACAGACCCTGCTTTTTACATCATCCCCTAAATCAGCTGAAACAAGGCTGCTTTGGAGCAAGACATCTGACAATGGAGGGAGAGTGCAGAAAAAGATTTGTATTTCAAATCTTCTAGGGAATGGACATGCAACATCACATACAGATGGAATACCAAGAAGAGAAAATCCGTTCTGAAGCATTTGAATGAAATATTAAGTCAACAAGCTACCTTATTACAATCTAAGTGCTAAAAACCTGAAGCAGGCCAAGAACTTATGGGCTTAAATTTCAAACAGAAATTGGAGAAAGAAAACCCTTTCATCCTTGTAACGTTTCTTTCCTAAAATAAAAACATAGATAGTACTTTACTTACTATAAAACCCCATTATTATAATAACCAGAAGAGTTGATTTCTCCAAAAAGCTAGATGTATGATCTTAGACAAGTTTCTCAGTTTCCCTGTGTGCATTATTATTACTATTCCTAGAATATAGTGATAATGATATTATTTATGGAATTATGAGGATTAAACGAGTTAATAAATGCAAACTTATTTTAAAAGTGCTTGGCATATGGGAGGCAGTCAATAAGTGTTAGCTTTTTTTTTTTAATCCTCACCCAAGGACACTTTTCAACATTTTGCTCAGATAGAGTGGGAGGGAGGGAGAGAGAGAGAAAGAGAAAGAGAGAAACATCGACGTGAAAGGGACACATCGAGTGGTTGCCACCTGCAGGACCCAACCAGGGCCGGGGACAAACTGCAAATGAGGTACGTGCCCTTAGCGGGAACCGAACCCCGGTCTCTCTGGACCGCAGGCCAACGCTCTAACCCCTGAGCCAAACCGGCCAGGGCTAAATGTTAGCTTTTATTGTAGGGATTGCTATTATGTATTGTGACATTCCTATCTTCAGACATTTGGGGAAAAACAGGCAAAGGGCAGACCAAATAGGTACATAGCACGAGAAGCAGTGAAATATTCTTTAAACCAACATAGCTCTCTTGAGGTTGCTAAACTGTTTAAACTTTTCACATCAAGGTCCTTGATCTAGATTTTCTTAATAAAAGGAATTTGGAAAATAACTTATGAGGAGGAGGTAGTAACAATAAATGTCCATGGGGGATGCTGGCATTTAGTGAGCAGCACACGGGGCTTCAGTATTTGTCACTAGCTCAGTAGTGCACCCGTGATTCTAGGTGTAGTTCAGGGACTGGGCTGCTTCGTTACACCTCCTAGTGTGATCTTGCCTAAGCTTTTACATATTGAAATGTTATTTTATTGTTAATTACTTTGCTAACATTTCTCTGTTTAAAACATAATCCGGACATTCTATAGTGAGCGGGTAAGTTATATTTTCTACAATTTTCATTTCAGGCTAATAAAGGTGGTGTTGCAAATAGCTGGACTATAAAGCAGACATTAGGCCTGAAGGCTCTGGGACCAGATTTATGTGAAGCTGTTTCCCAAAGGCAGCTCAGATGCAGCTACGTGGCGACAGGAATGGACAAGCTCCCAGTGATCAGTTAGTCAGGGTGGTGGGACAAAGACCATCAAGTGTACATTTGGTGCAGAGGACACACTCCAGTTCTGAGCAGCCACCTATGGGGAACTCCTGTGTGACAGGGACATACGCAGAGACACAGGGAATGCCAAGGTGGAGATGGCCTCTCGCTCCCTACACGTCTCTCTTGACTTCACAGCTGCCCCTGGGAGCACCCTCCACGTGGTGATTTCCACCTCTCCTGGGTCAGGCTCTGCCCCGCTATGAACAAAATGTTCACATTTCAGAGCAAATGCAGGTATTGTTCTTCTATATAAAGTTCTAAGCACATTAACTTTACTGTAGTACCTTTGCAGTAATATGGACATTGACAGAATTCCCAGACACTGTTTACAAATCCCCAGTTCTACCTAATCTACCCAAACCAGGCACGGTGGACTAGTCTGACAATCCCTACCTGCTCATCCGATCCCTTCTGGAGGTTCTGTTAAATTCAGGCTGTAAGGGGTCACAGATTAGGGTACATTAGAATCGGAAGGGGCTCAAGACCTGGTTCTAGTTTAACTGTCTTATTTTACAAATGAGAAAACAGTCCAGGAAAGGCAAAGTGACTGCCCAAGATCAAAAGTGGGTAAAAGGCAGGTTGTAACTAGAAATAAAATGCCAAGCTTCCAGCACAAACTCAAAGGGCCAAACATATAGGAAACCGTTTGGAAAGACTGGAGTCTTTTAGGATAAGATAGATCCTTTTAGGTAGTATGTGGTTTTCATGGATCAGAGGTGTCATTCACGTCTCCCAGGAAAGCAGCCGTGAACATACAGCCAGCTCCATTTCCACATCAGTGAGCTGAGGGGCAGCGGAAGGGGCAGAGGGACACAGTTCAAGGCCCGGTGGATATACTCACAATATACACTATGTTTTTTCCTATACATACAAACCTGTGAGAGAGTTTAATTTATAGATTAGGCACAGTAAGAGCTAAACTAATAACAGAACAATTAAGCAATATACTGTAATAACAGTTAACTAAATGTGGTCTCTGTCTCTCTCTCTGAAAATAGCTTATTGTCTGTATTCACCTTTTCACTCAAAAGAAGCACATCACAGCTTCTCTTGGGCATTTGAATTGTCACCATTACTACTCTTACACTTTGGGGCCATTACTAAGTAAAATAAGGGTGACTTGAACTCAAGCACTGATACTGTGACCGTCAATCTGATAACCAAGATGCCTACCAAGTGACCAGTGGGTAGGGGACGTCTACAGCGTGGAGGCCCTGGACGAAGGGATGGTTTATGTTCCAGGAGGATGGAGCAAGACCGTGTGGGATTTCATTATACTCCTCAGAATAGCACACGATTTAAAGCTTGCAAATTGCTTCTGGAATTTTCTATGTAATATTCTGGGACTGTGGTTGACTGTGGAAAATGAAACTGTGGATAAGGGGGGCTAATGTAATCCAGTGCACAGGTTTGCGTCTTGCAGAGAGGAGAGTGACGGGTGTGGCTCTGGGCAGGGCAGGCTCCTGTCTTTTCTAGGCACTCTGCCTCTACACCGTGATTGTTCTGTCCACTTCGGAACCCAGACCTGGCACACTGCAGGCCAACACTCGTTACAGGCGTGTAACTCGAAGGCAGAAGTTTAACCCAAGGATGATATTAATATGTTTACTTTACCTTACTCTCTGACCAGACGGCTAGTGTGGGGGCCTCTGGAGACAAAACTTTTCATCTTTCCATTTATCTTAGAATTGGCTGAATTACATTAGAACAGTGGTTCTTAAAATTTAGCATTCATAAAAATCACCTGTGTACATCCTTAAAAGGCAGATTATTTGACCCTACACTTAGGGATTTTGATTCAGTAGGTCAGTTATAAGACCCAGGAATTAATTAATTCCATAAGTGTTTAATGAGCACTTAGCCCTGGCTGGTTTGGCTCAGCGGTTAGAACGTCGGCCTGTGGTCCAGAGAGACCAGGATTCGGTTCCCGCTAAGGGCATGTACCTTGGTTGCAGTGTGTTCTCGGCCCTGGTTGGGTCATGTGGGTGGCAACCACTCGATGTGTCCCTTTCACGTCGATGTTTCTCTCTCTATTTCTCTCTCTCCCCCTCCCACTGTATCTGAACAAAAAATGAAAAAATGTCCTCGGATGAGGATAAAAAAAAAAAATGAGTGCTTACTATGTGCTACATACTGTTAGGGATGCTGGGGTACGAGGGTAAACAGACCAGTTTTCACTCTCCAGAGCTTACATGCCAACATGGGAAATAAATAATAACATAGTTAATAAATAAACATACCTGGGCATTTACGTTTCTAAGAAGCACCCAGGGTGATGCTGACGCGGGTAGACCTAGCTCCAAAAAATACTGCTTTGGAAATGGAAGTTTTAACTTGGTAGGCATTTAAATATTTGTGTAGCATACCAGCCAAGTACTTTGCATGTGAGCCATGGTTTTGAGGCCCCATGGCTCGGGGCAGCGAGCAGAAGGAGCTCCAGATGTGGCACCGTGCTGCCTGCCTGCCCGTGTGCGGTGGGGTGAGTACACTGGGCGACAACAAGCAGGCTCCTCTGAGGATTAGGAGCTGTCTGGCCAGTCCTGGCTTTTCCAGACCAGTCTCTCTTGGTGCAGGGCAGCTTTGGATGGCAGCTGTCGCATCCCCTATGTCCGTTCTAAAATTATTTCCATAGCAAAAAGTTATCTTTAATGTTTATACATCTAGCCTTGAGGCTCACAGTTAAGTCGTGACTGATGCTCTGAAATGCTGCTCTCTGTTAGTTGTTGGTAATTGAGACAGGACTGCCATTAAAGCGACTCTTGAACCAGACAGCTTTAAAAGGCTGCTGTTCTGAATTAAAATTCCTGATTAGCAATTGCCTTTGAAAATCCACATGGTGCTATAGGGTCAGATAACTTCATAAAGTTGCCTGGGCGAAATCTCACAACTACAGCTGCCAGCAGGAAAAACCTTCTCTTTGTGGGAAAGGTAAAACACAGGGATTACCCCATGTGTGCCTTTCGACTCAGATTCATGGCCATCGTCCATGGCTCTGACGGAGAAAGTTACCTATCCTACCAAACGGAGCACATCACTGGAGAGTGTATGCCTCTAGACAGGCATTTAGTGGTCACGTATGGGGTGCTTGAGTCATCGGTGACCCCGCAGTAATTCTACCAGCCTTTCTGAAGTGAGCAGAGCCTGGCTCTGTTCACAGAGATACAGCTGCAAAGAAGAAAGAGTGTGTGAATCCTTTCAGATAGGAATCG